GTCTATTTAAACGTACAATCAAAATTATTGCCTTTGATTTGCTTACCACAAAATGTTGAGTCAGAGACAGAGGCAGAGGCAGAGGCAGAGACAGAGGTAGAGATGGAGAAAGAGAAGCGGAAGAGTTAGTGCAAATTGTGAACTGTGAACTGTGCCCTTCGGTTAGAGGTTGCGTATGGGTTTGACATATGTGCCAGCAACCCGCAACCCGCAATCCTTATTCCCCATTCAACCCCTCCGTCTCCATGGCGGATTATTTGTTTGCATATGCATTGACGTATTTGCTGAGGCCAGCGAAGCGTGTGATTAAATTTAAAATATTTAAGCATATTTTGCGCGTTGACTAAAAAAAACCGGGCATTGACCAAGAGGCAACTGCTGCTGTTGCTGTTGCAGTTGCATTGCTATTGCTGCTGCTGCTGCTGCTGCTGCTGCCACAATGAAAATAATAACAATAAAAAATTAACTGCAAGCGTGCAAAAAATGGCGCGCAAATTAAAAAGAAAGCGATAAAAAAAATAATAAAAAAATGCAATAAATACAAAAATACGAAAAAAAAAATCCATTGAAAATGCGCCATATAAAAAATGTACAAAAAATGAGCGCAACGCAAAAAAGTAGAGTAAAAAACGTAAGCAAACGGCGCTGAAAATGCGCAATTGTTTACGGCCAGTGGATCGAAGGGGAAGCGGCGGGAGGGTGGAGAGTGTGTATGTAGGGGCTGATAGGCCGTAGTTGTGTGTGTGTGTGTGTGTGTGTATGTGTATGTGTGAGGGAGTAGGGGAAGGGTGCACGGGCTTGCCTTGTTGTCTGCTAGGCATGTGGAAAATCAGCGCCAGCGAAGCGCGAGACGCGACTGACAGGCAGAGAGACAAAGAGAAGGAGAGCTAGGGAAAGCGAAAGAGCAACAGAAGGGACACAAATAGACAGAGAGAGAGAGAGAGAGAGAGAGAGAGAGAGAGAGAAGAGAGACGGAGAGAGGCAGCGATGCGCTCGCACATACACAATATGTTTCCAATGTAGCACATTTAATATTAACTTTTCGAATTTATTTTTATTTCCGCTTGGCTCAAATACATTTGCAGCATGTGTGTGTGTGTGTGTGCGTGTGTGGCACATTCATTTCGCTTCATTTCTTGCTTTCTTGCAGGAAATTACAGCATGTAATTTGCATTCAGTTGTAAAGTGAAATGGAATAATTTCACATTGCCGCCCAGCACCCCCCACACTTCCCCATCCCGCCTGGCACACACTCTACTGCCTCGCTCGATTGTGTGTGTGTGTGTGTGTGTGTGTGTGTGTATGTGGGTGTGTGGTCGATATCTGCATGTGTGTGTGTGTGTGTGTGTGTGTGTGTGTGTGTGCGTGTATTAATTTCTCAATCATTCAATAACGCATTCTCGCAGGCTTCTCGCTTCGCTCTTCCTTCCACGCTCTTCTCGCTGTGCTTCTCTCTGCACACTTTTGAGTATGTGTACGATTTTGACATGCTTTTAACCAGCGACGACAACAACACGCAGCCGAGTGCCTGTCGCTGTGTGTGTGTGTGTGTGTGTCTGTGCAATAACGCGGAAGTTGACACTTTCATGTCTAATGGAGAGGCTCGGGCAAAAAGCGGAAACAGCAGCAGGAACCATTCTGTAGCACCGTGCAACGAGATTGGCCCCACACCTCTTTGCTCCGCTCCTCCACACTCCTCCCCTGTCCCCTGTCCCCTTCCCTTCACTTCCCTATCGTCATACCAGTCCCCTCTTGCTCAAGTCAATGCTTTCATGTGGCAAACTGAATGTGAATATTTTCTGATCTACAAAACACATTAACTTAAAGCATTCAATTATTGTCGACAATTTCAAGCATTTATTAATACTTAATATAATTATAATTTTAATACTTAATCTTCCGAACTTTTTGATATATTTATATATTCATTTATAAATATATTTATATATTCACCTTTAATTTCTTATCATGTCATTTGTAACTTTAACTTTATATATTCATATTCATAAGCCTTTTTTTTAAATTGTGAACTGTTCTTAGCCCACATTAAATAAATCAATATACATGTATGTGTCTATGGCAAAGCTATTCGAAGAAGGAAATTGCTTTAAGTTCCACATGTCGCATACGTTATATCGATGGGGGAGAGGGATGAGAGGAAATACACACGTAGTAGCTGTGGCAATGTGGGTTAGTCAGGTGGCGGATCATTCTTTGGTCGGATGTTAAATGGCAGCTGCAATGGAATTGAATGGAATGAATTCAGAATTCAGTATTTGCTCCTCTTGCGCTTTTTTGCAGTTTAAATTTTTAATTGAAATTACAAATTGATGTCAGCGACGCTGACCGAATGCGAATATGCGAATCTGATTCTGAATCCGAATCCGAATCACTGGCCATATGAAAAGAATGCAACAGAAAAAGGAATACAACAGCCACACATGTTTATGGTCGGATGCAAGCGACTAACAGATACCGCATAAAAAACAAAAAGAAAAGAAAATTCACCAAAAAAATAATTCGAAATCATTTTTGTGTTTGACATTCGATTATTTTCAGTTTTATCCAACAAAATCAGTCAATCTCAGGTAGAAATATGATGAAATTTCAATTACATCTCTTCTATAGTCTGAAATCAATGATTAGAAGATTTTGGAACAGAATAAACTTTAGGTGAAGTTTGTCTATTCTACAATCTAGATAAAAAACGAACTCAGCCAATCGAATATATTCTCTGACTTTTGATATTAATGATTTGAAGTCTGTTTGTCTGTTCCATTAGTTATCCGAGATGGTTATTATAGACTCAGAGATCAGAGCAGAGTATGCCTCTTACTAACTTTCACTTCAGTTTGATGTATACAGGGTATGCACACACACAAAAGAAAACAACTGAAGCGGAGTAGTGTCGAATGGCCTTTTGCCAGTGTGTCCTGCCTCCAGAGTCCTTTTCAAAGGCCGCTCAAGCCGAACTGCAATGCGAGCTGGTATTCGGATTGGAGATTGGGAATTGGGGATTGGGGTAGTCGAAGTGGAAATGGGCGCAAGATCAGCAGCAGCAGCAGCAGCAGCAGCAATTGACATTGCCAGGCTTTACTTTTATTTGCTGTTGTTGTTGAGGTCAGCTTCGCATTTAATACGCCAACTCGTTGCAGCTCATTCATTATTAACAGGCACAGCTGCAGCAGTTGCAATGTTGACGTCGACCCCGACCCCGACACCGACACCGACGCCCAACGTTGCCATATTGACAGTTATTAAAGCGATTGAATGAATGAATGACTGACTGTTTCTACACACACACAAAGATTGTAAATCTTTCCCTAATTTCTTGTTATTATTTGCTGAAAGAAATATTTGTAAGTAAGAGGGGCATTTTCCATAAAATTACTGGCTGTAACATTAAATTTATTGCATTTAAGCGTAAACACGCAAGAAATTTCAAAATATATGCGACAATTAGTTAACAAACTATTCAAATAAATAAGATTGTATACCCCTGTAGAGGGTAGTCTAGCTTTATGATGACATTTGTTTCCTGTTCCGCGAATATCGATACCAATCGATATCCGATAGGAAGAAAATGCACAACTTAACGGAATAGCCTTCCAATTGATATATTGATATATTACACATTTTTACATTTTATTGATCAACTGTAATTATTTCATCCGGATGGGATTGGAATGAACAGACTTTGTGTAATTTTAAATAAACTTAGCAAGGCTACATCTGATTATAGAGTATCTACTAGTCGAGCTGTCTCGACTAGAGCATTATATCTTGTTTACTCTGAGCTATCTGAAGAGGTAGTTTTGGTGTTGAGTGTTGCACTTGTGGTACAGTTGTGCGCTTGTCAGAGTCAGATATGGGCATGTAGGTGTGTGCTTGTGCATCTAAGTGTGTGTGTGTGTGTGTGTGTGTGTGTGTTACTGAGTTTTTCAATTTACGGGGTGATTCGTGTGTCGGATTCACTCAGTTTGGTCATTGCCACAAATGTTTTGCTTAACACCTTCACGTGATTCCGGCATTTATTAAATTGTTTTGTACTTTGTTGCCATTTCCGTTTGACGCTGCACGAGAGCTCCAAAACATGCGACGTGACAAATGTTGGGTGACAGCAGGGGGGATGGGCTGTGGATGGAACGACGGACGAACAGCTTGCACAATAATGAGGCATATTTACGAATGCATTGCACTCCCCGCACACACAGAGGAGAAGCTCTATGCTCATCTGGCGGGAGGCAAATTTGTATTTTAAATTATGCGCATCTCTTACCGTGAGAGAAGAGCTTGGGTGAACTGGCTGGGGATTTGAGCGGGGAGTATGGAGTAGAGGGGGGTGCGGGGGGGGAGGTGGATTTCTAGCCAACGGGGAGCACGTCCTGGGAGACATTCAGCGGCGCGTTTTAAAATGCGACGCATGACTTTCATTTCACGTTGTTTACTTCGCATGCGTTCGCGTGATTTTCCCTCACGGCATGCAGTGTGGGTGTGCGAGTACGGGGGCAGGGTGGCAGGGTGGCAGGGGGTGTGCTTGAGGGGTTACAGGTCGCGGCACGACGCGGCACGTGTCAACAGTTGGAAATGGGTTTTTAAGGCACCGCAGCAGCGTATGTTCGCTGCTGTTTCTTTAGCTTCAACTTTTGTTTCAATTACCGTTACCTGTTACCGGGTACCGGGTACCGGGTACCGGTTACCGTATACCTGTTACCTGCTACCCAATCTACCTCTCTCACTCTCTCACTATCTCACTCTGTCTCTCTCTGACTCCCTCCCACACATGTTTGTGTGCAGCAGTCGTGTTAGTGCTAATGACCCGGTTGGCAGCGGAACTTTGTTGATTTTGGTATATTTATGGCTCTCGACTGTTTATCGTTCCAGCTTTCCAAATGTAAGTATGTGTGTGATGTACGTGTGGGGCGTTGCACAACGCTTGTATGCACCCGGTATGTTCACACTGGTCATGCTCAGAATCTGGCCACACTTGAAGTCTCACAAACAAAGCTTTATTTAACCAAGTCACTTTTCAGCACTTCACACAAAGAAATTAAATGAGTAACTAAACTAAACAAATGTAAATAGATACCAAATTGAACTAAACTTAAATGGATTTGAATTCCTCATCTTCTGGTGTCTCTTTAGAATCGAGTCTATAAGCGGACCACGCAGCTCCGTGCGCAGTGCGATCTTGTGGAACTGGTTCGACTGATACTTCTCGTAAATGGCCCTCAATGTGGCAGTGGGTGCATCGCGTGTTGCCACCGTTGCCCTCCTTTTTCCCATCGGCGGTGGGCTTTTGTTTGGATGCTGGTGCTACTGCTGCTGTTGTGGCTGCTGCTGCTGTTGTGGCTGCTGCAACTGTACATTGAATTGGATGTGGTGTGGTGACAGGATAGCATCGGCGACATGTTCTCCATTGGTCATTGTCGTTCTTGTTAGTCGGGCAGTAGGCGCAGATCGCATCCAAGTGGAGCTCAGCAGCGGCATACCTGTTGTGGCTGCTGCAACTGTACGTTGGATTGGATGTGGTGTGGTGACAGGAGGATTAGTGGAGGGGTTTTCAACTTACGCTTACTGTTCCCAGCTTCGGCGACATGTTCTCCATTGGTCATTGTCGTTCTTGTTAGTCGGGCAGTAGGCGCAGATCGCATCCAAGTGGAGCTCAGCAGCGGCATACCTGTTGTGGCTGCTGCAACTGTACGTTGGATTGGATGTGGTGTGGTGACAGGAGGATTAGTGGAGGGGTTTTCAACTTACGCTTACTGTTCCCAGCTTCGGCGACATGTTTTTCATTGGTCATTGTCGTTCTTGTTAGTCGGGCAGTAGGCGCAGATCGCATCCAGGTGGAGCTCAGCAGCGGCATACCTGTTGGGGCTGCTGCAACTGTACGTTGGATTGGATGTGGTGTGGTGACAGGAGGATTAGTGGAGGGGTTTTCAACTTACGCTTACTGTTCCCAGCTTCGGCGACATGTTCTCCATTGGTCATTGTCGTTCTTGTTAGTCGGGCAGTAGGCGCAGATCGCATCCAAGTGGAGCTCAGCAGCGGCATACCTGTTGGGGCTGCTGCAACTGTACGTTGGATTGGATGTGGTGTGGTGACAGGAGGATTAGTGGAGGGGTTTTCAACTTACGCTTACTGTTCCCAGCTTCGGCGACATGTTCTCCATTGGTCATTGTCGTTCTTGTTAGTCGGGCAGTAGGCGCAGATCGCATCCAAGTGGAGCTCAGCAGCGGCATACCTGTTGTGGCTGCTGCAACTGTATCTTCTGTCGTCATATTCACATCTTTCAGTTGTTTGTGGGCCACACGAGCTAATTCACGATTCTGTGGGTCGCCGAGTGGGGCGCGTTTTGTGGCTGCCTCGTTTAAAGGCATTGACAGCTTTTTCACGTGGATCTGGTTGAATTTATATCCTTTATTAATTGGATATATTTTCTTGAGCAGAGTTTTGATCGCAAAGAAATAATTAAATTTTGATTTTTTATAATTGACTGGTTGAAGCCAGTTTCCAGACTGAACAAATATAGTTTTAGAATGAATTTGTCAGCGATTGCTGCGTTAATCAGAATTTTTGTTTGAGTCTTGCGAACTCTGCGATTAATATATATATATATATATATATAGAGTGAGAGAGAGAGAGAGAGAGAGAGACAGAGCTAGAGAGAAAGAGATAGTGCATAACTGATGGAGTTTTGTATTAGAATAATAATTGCAATAGTTAAATTCTGAATGCGGAATTTTGAATGGTGAATGTTGCATGTGCGGCAAATGAATAAATCAATGCTTGTTGCCACAACTAAGTGCACTCCGAGTGCCATTAATAATGCCCGCTTGGCCCATTGGCATTTTGGTAGCCAGGCGGCAAATGGGTCACTGCATAACCGGGTTACATAAAGTCCAAGCCCCCATCCCCATCCCCTCCCCTCCCCGCACCCCTACACTCACAGAGCCCCGTCTCTACCAAACTGCTTTGATTGTCCCTGTAGTTGTCTACTGCCTTGCATATTGCATGCGGCCTAATGCCCAGCGATTAACGCCAAGTTCCAGTACCTATATGCAACTCTCTATCCTTCTTTTTCCCTCATTCACTAAATAACTTTCGCTCCCTCTCTCTATCTCTCTCTTTTTTTCTCTCTCTCTCTCTCTCTCTCTCTGTGTCTGTCGTATGCCCATGTCATGCATTTTTTAAAGGCAGTGTGTCTGTGTGCCCAGGACAGACATTAATGTTAAACAATAAATACCAACAAGTAGCTTGTAAAAAGGTTATACACTCAGATAAAATAGTCAAGGCTTTGAAGCAGATACCATTTAAAAACATACGAATTATTTTCAATTTCAAAACTCGACTATTGCAATTCGTCGTTATTTTTGGTATCTCTGACGAAATAATATTTTAGAGCCTTTCAGTAAGGCATCGTGTAATATATAAACTACAACTACAAGTTCAACGTTCTAGGGTCTACTTTTTGGCAAGTGTACGCAATTAGGGTTGTTAGCAGAAGGAGTCGGGGTTGTCAATAGGGATGAGGTTGCGGCGTTTGTATGGTTCTCAGGCAGCACCCCAATATGCTCGCATGGCATAAATGCATCGTCAATTAATGTAAATTAAAGGCAAAACCGAATTCCATTTCCGTTTTAACAAGACACTTAATTACATAAGTGAGTGGACACACACACACACACACACACATACACACACACACACACACAGGTACGCACACACACACAGACACACGTGGGTCGGATGGGTGCTGGATGTATTTGATGGCAACTATGTTTAGAATTTACTTAACAAGATGACGACGACAAGAAGTGGCCGGAGCTGCAGAGCATTACGGATATTATGGAGACCATATGCAATTGGCATTCATGCATATTACTTATACGCAATGTGCCACACACACACACACACATAGATAGAGGGTACTTGAACAGGCGTTCAGACATATAAACAGCGCTTTGACTTCGACTGCAGCCTCTGTTTCTGCATCTGCATTGGCTTTGTCAGGTATTTGCATTTGCATTTTGCATTTTGCAGTTGCGAGCTCCGTAATTGCGTTTCAAGTGCAATTCGAGTTTATCGGCATCTCTACCTATCTCTCTTTCTCTCTCTCTCTCCCTCTCTCCCTCGCTCTCTATCTCTCTCTCTATTTCTCTGTGTGTTTGTGTGTGAAATTCAGCCAAGTTGGCTGTCGCAACTTGTAATAGTCGTACACGCATCCATGTTTGGTAGCCCTTACACAGGCGTATCAGAAGTTTGAAGGGCCTTTGGGGAGACATTACCTTAATGTCATTAGCTACACTCAGAAAAAAATTGAAATTTATAAAATAAATATTTGTAAATACACTGAGACAAACTTGTTCAAGATTTGGAAGCACAGCTGCCAAATAGTTGAACATGCTTTGTCAAAAAACTATTTTTGTAGTTCCACACAGGAAGTTGAAATATTATGGCTTATGACTTTTCACAAAATACAAAATGATTTTTGGCTGTTGTTGTTGTTGGTGGCGAAGCCAACTCAGGGAAGGTTTTTTTTGCTTGTCAAGTTTGGAATATATTCTTAAATTCGTTGCTAGTTGCACAGCTGTCAATGCAAAAATATACAATATCCAATATATAAATATATTTATTTATCGAATCAAATCGCATAATATTCACAAATTTTTGCAGCTCACCGGGCCCATTTTCAATTTTCCCAGATTTCCATTTATTTTTGAGTTTCTGATTGCCCTTAGGTTAAATCAAAAATGTTGCTGCAACAATTATTAAGAAATATTTTGATATGTATTCCATTTATTTATGCACATAAAATATATATAAAATATATTTATATATTTGTTTATTGTTGTGCATGCGCATAATTTATTTGATTTCAGCTATGACAATTTATGAATTATTATTACGTTTATTATTATCGCATGCAACACACACGATAGCAAATTACCACCACCACCACTCCCCCTACTGCCAACTACCCTCTCTTTCGCAATATATTTTCCCCATTCCCTTTATTATTTGTGGTAATTGATAGGGTATCTCACTGACAGAGAACGCATAGCCTAGTCACAAACCCAATCAACTGAATTATAGCAACTTTTTATGGTTGCTCAAGAAAATGAAAGGCAGACCTACAAAAATGTTGTGACAGAACTTATTGTGATGGAAGCCTTATGCAGCGTGAATATCATTAAAATAATTTCTATTCAATATATAATTTATAAATAAATATATATGCACTTCGATGAAGTGCATTTTGTTGTAAAACAAATAATCTTAAATCAAGTATGTTGTCTGCTTTTTATTTCTCATTTTCATTCTCATTCCGATTCTTAAATGGATGATTTAGCATCTTATTTGGAAGCAGAAAATACAATTTGTGCGCCCGTCCCCTTTGGCAAATGAGCTAAACATGCAGGCAAGTTGCAAGTGGCAGCAATTGTCGCCGCCTGCCTAAAACTTGGCCACAGAATGCAAATTCTGCGAATTCGCTTAAACGATTTTGATTACTTAAAACGCAACGGCAATAAAAGTAATAATAAACAAAAGACGACCAAAAAAAAAGAGGGAAATGGCGAAAATAAACATAAATAAAGCAACAACTTCCTCAGCTCCTGCCCCCAATGATGATGATGATGATGGTGATGATTGTGTTGGTGGTGGCATTGACGATGATGATGATTATTATTATTTTGGCTCTGCTGTTTCAGCCTTTGTCTTTGTCTTTGCCTGCATTTGCAATGGAAATGGAAATGTTGCATGCGAAATGCATTTCAAATGCGAGTTTTGCCGAATACGAAAATGCAGTAACAGTTTACCCCATTACAAACAACCAACAACTCCCCCACTCCCCACTCCCCATCCCCCACTCCCATTTGAAAGTCGTTGACAATTTGGCGTCGACGATGAAAATAAATAAATGGGCAAAGTCCAAAATGCTGGCAAAAAGCACCCGAACTTGGATCCACACCAACGCCGAGAGCCGTAAAGCATCAGTACAGTTCCTATTACTGCCAAACCTTCCCCCGACCATCCCCTACCACTTGCATCCCCTTAGCCCGAGTCCCCATTCAGGCGTCGTAAGCATGCAAATATTTAGATTAATGCAAGACTTTTGCAACAAAATACGCGACGCGCATATTGCCAAACAAAATTTTTATTTATGCCATGATGTGGGCGTGGTCATTGGCGGCGGAGGGAAAGGTTTGTTGGCTGTCTGGCTGCCTGGGGTAAGTCACTTGTGAGTCCCAACCACCCACGAGCAACTATGATGACAAAAATTTGTGCGCGATTTTTGTTGTATTCTTTTTGTTGCTTCTTTTGCAACGGGAAAAGTCTTTGGATTAACTATATATATAATGATATATTCCTTATCCTTGGCTGCCTTCTCATTCTCAGTTTATGCAGCTTCCACTTGAAAGCCATCAAGCACAAAAGAACGCTCAAGCAAATTTAACAAAGAGTCTCTGCAATTGGGATTGTCATCCATAGGTGTATATTTGATTATAACATACAGGTGATGTATATTCGGGCTCAGTATTTCGATTATCTCCGTAACATCCATTAAATAAAACATATTTTTCTCTTAATTTTACAAAAATCCAGCCTGGACTTGGGACGAGCAAAATCCTGGTTTTATGAAAGACACAACAAAAACACGTCTTTGAAATATACTTTGTGAATTATATTATTATATTATTTCAGTGCTAGTTTTCCGAGAGTTTTTATAAGAGTTGAAGAACTCAAATGTGGAATATATATGTTCCAGTTCATCGTAGGCAGAATAAGTCTCGCGAGGCAGAAAATATATCTTGGCAAAATATCGTTTAACTGGATAGAGATTATGAAGAGTTCGATAACTATTTTTTGTTTGGAGTCTTCCTACATATATATATATATAGTATATAAATAAATATAGATTATTTGATGGTTTTTTTAAGCTTTAATGGGACACAGCATGCAACTATCTGAAACTGCATTCAGTTTGGTTTTTCGCTTAACACAACTGATAAATTTCCAACTGGTGGCAATTGGAAATTGGCGTGGCGACTGACACAAATTTAGGGGTGAGTTGTGGAGGTTTGGCCAGCTATGTCTGTCTACAATATAAGTCAAATTAATTGATGACCAATTTGCGTTTTCAATTAAAAGCAGCACACAAACAGTTTTTACTTTTTGCGCAGATAGGATTTCAATTTTGTCTCGCTCTCATTTTTTAACATTTTTTCTTTTTTGATTTCATATACCCTCTAACCAAAAAATTGGGAAAAGGTGCGTAGTATGGTTTTGAAATTTGATGATTAAACTGGAACCAGCCAAACATCTATCTAAATTATAAAGGAGAAACAACGGTTATCTAATCTGCTTATATCTACATTTTAGTTTGGATTTTCTTAATTTCTTATCTATAGCTAAATTCGAATTTTGTTCGCTTTTGTTCGTTTCATTTTCCTTTTCTTTTTCCAG